TCTCTCTCTCTCTCTCTCTCTCTCTCTCGCATATTCATGGGCGCGCGCGCACGAGGACGCATTTAATGAGCGACAAACTCGCCAAGATTGATTAAATTACTCATAAATTTTCTTTTTAAGCGCTTTAGCGAAAAAGCGCTAAGTGCGTCGTACGTATATCGGCAACTGTGTGGCTCATAACACTCTGTAACACACGCAAGCGGATGGATGCGGTTTTAAAGGAGCAAAGGCACGCCGTATTAAAGGAGCAAATTTAAATTCTACTTAAGCTCACCTCGTTGACTTCAATTATTAAAACGCCTGAAATCTTTTATAAGATGATACCTCGTCTTCGTTCTACTCTCTATTCCAACATCCTATACTTACTTTACCTCTTCCTTTATATCTTATACTTTCAAATGACCTTTAAACGCTCGTCTAAATGGTTTATAGAGGCACTAAGATTTTTAGTCGAGATTACATATAAAATCATATTCTATCTGCTTTTATACAATTCTGCCACACGTCGAGCATCATTTTCAGCAGTCGGCAATGTAGATTGCACGTACTCTGCTCGACTTATTTTATTCATAAAATCTTCCTCACGTTCGGTCACGTATCAAATACACACACGCGTGCGCGCGTGCACGCTATATATATATACATATATATATAATGTTTGCGACTGTATGCATGAATTAATAAGAACAACCGATAATATTTATAAGCAAAGCTAATCCTTGTAGGTATCGGACGAATGATGTAACATTTCAAATCGTAAGGTAAGGAAGTTTTACACCCAGCACCATCTATCCATTGTATAAATTGCAATTGCTCTGACTGCAAAAAATCAAATTCCGAATCCGTCATTTGCTTTTAGATTATAGCATTTCTGTTTTAAAGTATATTATTAATTTTGATAAAGTTTATTTGATAATATTTATACTAGATTTGTAATTATAAGCCCAGAATTTAATATCTAATATGAATTAAAAAAAAATTGATATATATACAATCACATCCATAATAATAATAGTAATAGTACTAAAAGACTTTTTTGAATATTTTTGATAATTATATAATCTAAGATAATTCATACATTCAATTTGAAATATCGTATCACAAATCCGAGTTAGATACATTTTTTTAAATACTATTTCTTTAATTTGACAATTTCTAGTTTGAAGAAGAGCGATTAAGAACTCATTTAGACGCTACACTTCATACGTAATATTATTAATGATTTCGTATTATTAAAAAGTATATAAAATGGAAAAAAATAACATAAGCCGTCAAATTGCTTGATTTGCCTAAATATTCAATGGTTTAAAAATATTACAGAATGAACAAAAAAATATGTAAAATTTTATATATATATATATATATATATATATATATATATATATATATATATATATATATAGATATAATTTTTCTTTATTAAGCTTAAAGAATTATTTAAGTTTTTATAAATTAAATCAACTTTATAAAAAATACTACTTGAAATTTTCTAATATTAGAATAATAATTTATCTTTTTATCCACGCAATTAATTATACAAAAACATATAAGGGAACTTTGATTATACGTATAATTTGTATTTTTGTTTAAAAAAAAATAAACCTATTCGTGTATACTTTTTAAGGAAATATATAATTCCGACATTCTAGATATATTTCCTAGTTCCCTTCTCCTGTAACTCAACAATTACTTTTTTTTTTTAATCAATTGAAATTATGTTTTACTATTCAACATACAATATATGTAGCGAGACATTTTTTTAATTATTTATGTTACAATCACCTACATCAAAAACTTTTTCAAAATCTAACTTTAATGCATTATATATGTAACTTTTATTATTTCAACATCATCTTTATTTTCTTTGTATTCTTCAATTTCGAAAATTAGTAAATATTTAAGTTTATTTTTAAAAATGTTGGAATTATTACATATTACAATAGTAAAATTTCGTAAGATATTAATGGATTAGAAGAAAGATAAATTAAACTATTTGTTTTTTAATTATGATTAATTAATTATCTATAATACAAGATAAATAAATTACAAATTATATGTATCTATAAGTACAATATCAATATATTTTATGTGCGTTGGTAGATTTGTATAGTAAAGTTTACTATTGCCGTGTTTTATTTTAAAATAGAAACAATATCTACTAATTATAAAATACTTTAATTTGTATATCGTACGAGTTTAGTTACATAGATTATTATTATAATAATATATATTCAATCACAACGATACAGTGGCCTTGACGTGATCTTGTGATCCACAGTTCACCATCACGAGATGCTCCTTGTTGATGGTGTCGATGTTGTTGCTGATCTTGTAAGGATCAGCAATGAATTATGCCTTTACAATTATGTAAAATATGAATTCCTACAAAATTAGAATCTAAATGAATTAAAAAAAAATTGCTTAATTTTCTCGTTCTTAATTCAATCGTTAAATGTGTAAGAATATTAATTGATTCAGAAAAATTATTTCTAAGATAATATTTAAATATATACTTACATATATTTCAAATAAAATTTATGATAATAAAAATTCCTTTGCAGTATTAACATTTTTATTTACATTTAACATAATCAATATCGTAATTTATATTATAATAAATTTTCTTACTACTTCATTCGATAAGCATTAAAATTTGTAAAAACAATTATATTATTAGAATGAACATGCAATATTATTAACGTACTACGTTTATTCTGCTTTATGTTATATAAATTATGAACGTTTTAATAAATATAAATTGACTTAATTAAATAAAACATCGACGTTGAGATAAGAAATTTTATTTATTTCAAACCGTTTTGATTATATTTAATTTGATAACTCTGTATCGTATTTGTATAATTATAAATGGGTTATATTAACTATTAAATTTGATATTCAATTTTATTTTGTCAACGGTAATTAAATTTTAATTATTAGGTCAATTAATCTTATCAAATTAAATTAATTAAAGACACTGTTAATTACTAAAACTATCATAAAAATTCTGTAATCTTTAAATAAGTTAAATAATTATCTGAAAAGGTATAATATTATTCATTTAAATAATTTATTATATAAAACGCCAAACTTCATTAAATTAAATACAAATATTTGTTCAATTACCAAGCAAACATTACTTAAAACTATTATATTAATTTCTATATATACAAATAAATTTGTAACAGATAAATTCAATTAAAATGTCAGTAATCTAAACGAGGCACGTCTGTCGATAATCTTATATCATTTATGAGCTTGAAAATATTATATTAAAAACATTAATAATAAATCAATTATAGTATTGGAGATTTTATTAAAAACTTTTTTCTCCGCATAAAACAATCAAGAAGAACATTAATCTTAACGCCCATTGGAACGAACTACGTCTCTAATAAAAATGACAAATCACAGGTCTTTTAATTGAAATTACCAAATAATTATCATCATGGAATAATTGAAATATTCTGTTTTCTTGAAAATTATAAAGTAATAATTGTAAAAATTGGTATTAATATATTCGAGGAAAATTAAAGAAAACAGCTAAGGAAAATATTTTAGCTACAATTTTTTTTTTTTTACTATAAAACATTATTTATACACACACACACACACACACACACAAAAACAAACACAAAGGATTTTGAAAAACAGTCATGATTTGATCATTATAATTTATTATAATATAATGTTGTTATGGTTTACAATATATTATGTGAAATTCAAAACTTTTATTTCTCATCGGGAGCTAAAAATTCTCCTAATTATATATTTTTTCTATGTAATAAATTATTTAAATTATTATAATTACAAATTAATATTGCAACGACATGGTGTTAATATATTGTAATATATATTAATATAATAAAATTTTATATATTTTTATGTATATTATGCGTGTATAACAAGAATATTTATTAAATATCTAGGCACTATATTATTTTTTAATTAATCGTGTATTGTTGGTAGACGCGATTGAAGATTGAAAAGTGCTTAAATTATTATTTTCTTTATTTAACAATATCAATCACTAATTAAAAAATTATTAAATATATATGTCATATTGCGTATCGTATTAAAAAAATGTTTTAATGTCATTATTGTTTGTAAATATCGGTGTCAATTTTTTTTTTTTTTATTTTTTTTATAAGGGTAAACAAATTTAAGTAAATATTTACTTAATTGATGAAAACACCGATATAAGTACAAAAGCTACATATTCGAATATGACATTTCATTATATCGAATATATATATATTTGTCGCGTAAAAAAGTATTTATTATGATTTCAAAAAATGTTGTAATGATCGTTAAAAAAAAAAAAAAAAAAAAAAAAAGTGATGTACTGAAACGAAATTAACAATTCAAGTAAAGTAATTCTATATAACGATTGAAATGAATATGTACTTGAATTTATTTTATTTTTGTGTATGATTGATCATAAAATGAAATTAAGAAGACATTTGTGCGCCATTTGATTATTCCTTCATAGCTGAAGCGATTATTACAGATTTATAAAAGAAGAATATAATCATTCAGTCGATTAATTTTATAAAAATTCATCAATAATTATACAAACAAAAATATATAAAGATCATATTCAAACAAAACAAATAAATTTATATAAAAGTATCATTTCATAAATAATTCTGCAGACATTCATATCGAGGACCAGAGTGAGAAATTGATAGATCAAAATTATTTTCATAATACTAGTCACTTCGTAAATTATCAGCCTCAATAATTACATTAGGAAGATAATTAGACTAGAAAATCCTTGTCTTTTAAATAAATAATTATAAAATAATAAATGTTCTTTTTGTATCGCGTAAATAAATAAATAGTATATCAAAGTAAAAGACACTGATGATTAATAACTGTTATTTCAACATTTTTATAACTTAAAAAGCAGGTACTCGGTCGTTCGCTTAGTTCTTTTTTTTTTTTTTTATCTCTTTACTTATAGCCAAGGCTTGGAGTTTAAATCAATATTATTATTTGTATATTATTAATAACAGAAGTGGAATTCGACGAAGTGAAGTTTCATTAGCCGAATCTTGAACTGCGTAACGAGTTTCTTGATAATGCCGACGTTGCTTGCAAGCATTAGCAAATCCGCACTGAAGGTTTCCTTTTCAATTCTGGAGTTTTTATAAAAATCCTGTTGATAAAAAAAATTTTTTTTTTGTTTTCTACTCTCAATAATATTACAAGTGTGCACGCACAGGCGCACACACGTTAAAGGGAATGTGAGAAAGATTTGACATTTATAGAGTTAACTTACGAACAATCAAGTAAAAATTATTTTTGCTAAAATTGAAATCAAAATCAATTAATATCTACTTTATATTGCAATAATCTTCGATAAATGAATACATATTAATTATAACAATTTTGTATTAAAAATGCTATTACTAATATATATTATAATGAATTTTATAGTCACATCCACTTAAGTTTTAATTCAAACTAAATCAGTATTGCATTACACTAAGCCGCTCTATGTTAATTCATAAAACATTAAAAAAATAAAGTTACATAAATAACTGCAGGTCATTTTAAAAATACATTATCTACATGTAAGCATAGGTTTATAAACATGCTGATTATTATTTCAATTAATAGTATACGTAAAGTCCTAGGATTGTTACGAAAATATTTTATTAGAAAAATAATGATTAATTAATTAACACTAACAATAAGAGAGACTAATTTATATGCGAGAAATTCTAAATTCTTAGATATTTGTTGTAGCGATCGATTATAAAGATTGTCACATACGTAGGAATGATCAAGAAAACATTGTATACAAATTGGTCAACTATAAATTGTATATTTAGAATTAATTTATTATTAACAACACGGTAAAGTGCGAACTCTATTTGTAAGTAGATTTCATAATTTTTCTCTTCTTTTTTTACTCACCTCATTAGATTAATAATTAGTGGATTCTAACAATATTATCAAATCAGTTTGTCATAAAATCATAAAAATATATTTAAAAACACTAATATATTCGTAGATTCGTGGATATACATTTTTTAACGTGTGTATATATTATAATTAATTCTTCGTAAAGTACTTTTTAGAATAAAACGAGTTGAAAAAATAAATATAAATAGAAAAAATTTTCATGGTAATTCTGGAAAAATGCCGATATCCAGTTAACTCGAAAATATTTTAATCACATTTTCAAAGAATTTTGCATGTTTCATATATATATATATATATATATATATATATATATATATATATATATATTGAATAATTTATTACCGTTGATCATTTTTAATAGCAAATTAATAGTTCAAGAGATAACTTTGCTAGAATTACTTCTAGTTATTGCAGTAAGTGTTAATTTTTAATTATAATGCAACTAGTTTATGTACAAATATGTATTTATAATAAATTTTAAGAACTTGTGTTATAAATAGATGCAAGAAAAAAGAATTTGTCATGCAATGATTAATCGCCATAACAGGGAAAAGTAACTATAAAGAAAATATATTAAGCGCATTGTTGTCAAATTAAGTTGCTCAGTGTCAGCTTACCTATCCTACTCGCTCAGAACAGGAAGTAGGGACCTTTACGGTCAACAGAAAATTATATTAGAAAATATTTGAAAAAATTTCTATTATTTTCTTATGAACGAATTAAATTTTTAAATAATATGAATGTAATTGTTATTTTAAGATTAAAATTAATATTTTTTTTTTGCGTTTGTTTTTTCTTTTTTTTTCTACTTTTTTTTTTTAAATTCTTTATTGAGTAAGTTTTTAAATTTAAATAACATGGTTCATAGTGAAAAAAATATTAGCATCATACTCACAGTTCAATACTTTGTATAGCGGAAGATGAACACATGGAGTCAACTTTAACATGACAATGTTTATGACATTTCATTTGGCAGTCTCTACACTCATAGCCTTGTTTGCCTAATCTTCGCGCCAACGTTCTTTTACATACTTCACACACAGTGCCACTAAAAGAAATTTTATTCGTTGACAAGATCCGATATAACCATAGTTTAAATAAGACTGATAAATCAGGATTAAATTACCCAGCCATATGTTTTGCAATAAATGTATGATCATTGAAAATATGAAGCTTCGTTCCTTTCTTCTTCCATTTACTTTTTTGTGCCAATGATAGTGGGACAAGATAATGTCTAGAGCAATGGGAATATATTTTTTTCATATATTCAGTAATAAATAATATTTTAATTATGAAAATTACTATGGGCTTAAAATATATTAAAAACTAATTATACTTTCATGACTCAAAAGTAATGAAATTTTAATCAAAGCGCTTAATGTCTTTTTATTCCAAACTTAATTTAACATTAAAAATATATCGAGCTATTTAATAACTTATTAGCATACTTTCTGATGCAGTTCTCAACGGTTTCCAAGACTAATGTCGACGCTTCATTTATATAAGTTCTTGTTGAAGTTCCACTTATCGCAGATGCTTCACTAACGCTTGATCTTCTCGAGTGTCCTTCCCGACCTAAATAATAAAAAAAATTTTAATTTATGTAGATTACGTTGCTCTTAACATATAAAGAACTTACACTTGACTATTAAAATCGTGATAATAACAAAAAGGAAAAAATTCAACGCAATCTCCGTTTCTTAAACGAGTAATAATATTTAATTTATAATATAAAGAAAGCCATCAACACATACATTCCAATATACTGTTGGAAATATGTTATAATTACTTAGTAGTCAATCGCTTTAAAAGTTCAATTTTTTTTTTTTACCATTATATTATAAAGAAATACAGTTGGATAATTAAAAATAATAAATAAATGTACTAGAAATTTTACTATAAAATAAGATTAAATTACTCACCAACTACATCTACATGAATAAAAAAGCGGCTCTAAATCTTTTGAAATTAAAGAATTCACATTGATTGGATTAATCTGATTAATTGGAAACAATTCATATTCTATGACTATGAGTATAAAAAAAAAAAAAAAAAAAAAAAAAAAAAAAAAAAAAGAAATAAAATTTGCCACGGATTTTGTGGCAAAGGAACGAAAGGGGTTTTACAAACGTGTTATATAAAACTTACAAACAAGGCAGAACTTAAAAAAGAATCAAAACTTCTGAAAATACAATTAATTAGTATTAGAATTTTCGTTATGTACCAATCCATTTACAAACTAAATAAAAGTTCATAATATTGCAAGTGTCGAGATTAGTTTCATTTCTGACTATATAATTATACAAAAATTATTGACAACTAATATATTGTAGAGAAAACGTTATTGTAAAAATTAAATTTGACATAAAATTAGGGCAAAAACAAACAAAGCTGGCAATATCAATACTTGCAGTTGAGTATTTTTTTTTATATTTTTTTATTTTTTTTTTTAAATTTTTTATTACGGGAATGAAGCAGTGCCGCCAGTTTCTACATTAAGCAGATAGGAAAGAAATTTTCTGCATTTTGAAATCGTGACTGTAAGAATAAGATGTAAATAAATAAATAAATGAGCATTTAATATCGGATAATGAATATTAAATAAAGCAGTATATAAAATCAAGATACGATTATTGAATAGATATACAAATAATATGGGTAAATATAAATTTATAGTTGTTGCATGAATACTATTGAATAAATATAATAACAGTTGAATCAAGAAATTTCCCTGTTTTAGAAAAATATATTATAATATACAATTTTTTTGTATTGATTGAGCTATTGTATGAAAAGCTATTTAATATACCATTGACCATTTGTGACAAAATCTAGATTTGCCATATTTCTTGTATTAATTATTCGAGGCTATTGTCATATCGTGTAAGTAATTCTTTTTTAAATAATTAAAATTTGAATTGTGACTTTTAATTATAAATATTTCAACTAATTAAATGTTTGAAGAATTAAAATTGTATTCTATATATGTGTGACTTATGTGAAGATTAAAAAAGACAAATTCAAGTATATTTATAAATTTTTATCACAATTGTAATTATTAATTATAATTATAACAATTTATTATTATGAATTCGTATGCCAGTGCGTTTGCTTATCTGCTTAAATATTATAAATAAATACGTATGACATAAATATGTAATATAAATATGTAAAATGAATATTTTAATGTTAATAAGTGGGTAATTTTTTTAAGTCAACGGTTGCATTCTATATTGTATATTTTTTACTTTTTGAATTTAATTTACTATATTTATTTCTCTCCTCGGTGCATTAACCACTGTGGTAGGTTTATCAATTAAAAATTAACAAACAAATACGTGTTAAAAATATAGTAGAAAGAATTTAAATAAAAGTGATACGATATACCACTTATAAAAGCTGTAACTACTTTAAATTATTGGATTAATAACTTAGATAATCATAAATTGATAAATATATATATATATATATATATATATATATATATACTAACCAGATCCTGGATCTCTTGCTCTGTCTGCTGAAATAGATCTTGAATGAGCCTCCTCGTGATTTGGATCCCCTTCCGGTCCAACTGATCTACTTCTTGCTTTAGAACGACTAAGTCTCTTTTTGATTGTTCCAAAGAAATCTCTCCGTTTTCTTCTAGTTCTTCCTCTCTCTAATTAAATATCACGGCAGATTAGATTATACAGCTATCATATTGTAAAATTATTGTATAAATATATAGTAACCATTGTTTTAAATTTACCTTTCGTACCATCAGAGTTTGAAGAATTTGGTGTACTTTCCTGGCCAGAAGTTGTATATACTTCTTTCTCTCCAAGCTAAAATATTTATTTCAAATAACTTCAATATTTATGTAGCTAATAATATATCATAAACTCATTTATATTTTAATTAATAACAAAATTAATGGTTCGCTAATTTTATTATTCACTTAAGGACTCTAAAGACGAGTAATCAGCTGAGATGCTAAGCTCTTATTTAAATCTCTTTCAATTAGATCTATGCAAATAAACTTTAGTTACCTCAGAAGAAATCTCCCGCCATCCGCCATTCTCATTCAGTGTGACCTATTAGATTAGTAAAAATACACATGACACTAAAAACATGTTACGTACACTCGATATTATCAATTATATTTTTACATTCTCATAAAACTTTAAGGAATGAAAAGTAGCGGATGTTATATATTTATTTATTGTTAGAAACATAATACAGCTATTATTATCAGTTATTTCGTATTAAAATAACGATAATGAATTTAATTTATTTCAATTAATATAATAATTATTTGAGAGATTAAAGAAGCATTGGATTATTAAGATTTAAATTAGGCTCACCTTCACAACTTGACGTTCAGGTTTCTAAAATGTGAAAGAGCATGCTTTGTATTAGTTGAACTTTGTGGAACTTGCAAACAAAACAAATCTTTGGAACATTCAGTTTGTAAAAACTTAAGATACATTTAAAAGTCATTATTACCCTTTGCTGGCTGTGAACGATTAAAGTTCCTTTGTTACCATTTGATTGTCCACTTCTGTATGGCGAGTCAACCGTTGAACCGCCATTAGTTAAGAAATCTGTAAAAGAAGTCGAATGAAAATGTTGCCTCTCTTTATACGTCGTACGTATTTAAAAATCTTCTCTCTTAAAACAACACTAACGTCATAGTAAATTTTTTAATAAGTCACTTTAATCTACATAAATTAGTGAGATTTTGAAACATTTCACATACAACTACAAATCTACAGTTTCAGTAAAAACACGTGCAAATTTTCAAACACAAGTCACAGCATTAAAGAACGTATTTGGCCGTGCAAGTTGCCATATTCTCTCGAAACTAAATCTAGAAGGGTATTATAAAACGATACTTATGGAATTTTCATCAAACTGTACAATAATACTAGTCCCACAACTAAATATTTAAAAGTTCATTACCCATTTTGGCACAACTCCTATTATCATTTCTATATGTTTTACAAGTAGAACATTTAACTCGTGAGTCTTCTGCTTCTCAATTTATACTAAATTCTTGTTTTGCTCTGTATTATATGTTTATGTAACTGAATGACAAGACAGAGAAATGATATTTGTCAACAATGAATGTTCAATGCAAGATCAAATGAATATAATTTAAAATAAAAATTAAAAACTCAATTCTTTCTAGATAATTTTACCAATACTCCAAGTAAAATATACATACTAATTATGTCATTAAGTGCCAAAATTACAATATAAACAATTTTCCTCGATTTTAAATGATCCTTTAAGAATATTATTCAATAAAATAAGGCAAAGCACAAACTCACATTGTACAGTGCCTCTAGGCACATATTTGAACCAAACTAAGGGACCATTCACTACTTAAGTCATTGAGATGTCAACTTGTATTAATATTGGTAAATAAATGATATTTCCTTACTTGAAGACTTTTTAAAATTAAAATATATTTAATGAGAAAGAAAAAACCAAGTTTAAAAGCTATCGTAAGCATTTACTTAAATTAATTTTTATTTAAAATCTTTAGTTAACGTTAATATTTATTTATTATTGAAAATAAATTCAAATTTCTTCTTCAAAGTCATTTTTAACTTTCATACGCTTCTTTAATACCTAAAAGAAAATAATTCTTCTATTTCCGATTTTAAAAGTGTCATTTTATTTTCACAAAAACGAAAATGTTTAAATAATCCTTCCTTACGTATTTTTATAACATATATGTTTACGTGTAATATTGAAAACACAATTGCATAAATTATGTTTTTATAAAATACATATTTTATATTGATTTGATTATTAAACGCATCCACCCACACACATATTCACAAACTTTTATTCCACGTACGCACGCACGCACATAACGTAATTAATCGACACATTTTTATTAAAATTTCTTTTCTTCTCTTTTATTCGAAGAGCATCATAAGCCGCTTTTACATTCGTAAAATCACGTAAAATCACGTAAAATTATCGAACAAATCATTTTAACATCACTGAAATCATAGAAGAAATCATTATATACAAGATATAATAATCACATGAACAACATCATTCTACATGAGAAAACAAAAGAGTGAGTGAATAGCCCCTCAGATAAAACAGTGGACTTTCCAGGAATTTCATGAAAACCTAAAATATATATGTCTCTTAAAGGAAATTAATGATTAAAAAAAAAAAAAAAAAAAAAAAAAAAAAAAAAAAAAAAAAATAAAAAAAAATAAAAAATCAAATAAGAGCTTAAAAAACAAAACTCTACTAAACGCTAAACATCCAGAGAATGGGATCAGTTGATAATGCTTGGAGGCAGGCGTGGTTGGTATGGTGAACGCGAGCTTATTTTAAAAAATTTTGTTTGTTTATTCAAGGCGAACACGCGGGGGTTCTCTCTCTTACTAGTCGATATAATCGATATTTACCGCCTCCCGATTCATTTGTAGAGTCGTACAAAATAAGAGTGCTGTTACCGTTGTTATAGTTAAGAGTATTGTTGCTCAATACGTTGTTTGTAGGATTATAACTGCGCGTTGGTGAGGCTGGGGGTTTGATTGTTTCCTTCACCCTGAACGGCTTACTGCCTAATTGCGGCACTTCCGCACCCTCGATAAAAAGAAACTGTAAAAGTTAACAAATGATAACGATTAGATGCATCGGTACATTACTCGTCAGTCCTAATCGTCAATCCTCGTCAATAATAATTAATCAATATTACTCGCGTAGAAGATATTTTTTTATTAATTTGCATCTCGGTCCTTCATGCTTTTTTCGTTAACCAACTTATATTTTGCCCTACCCCCGAAAACTTTTCGTTATTTCGCAAAAACGACACTTCATTTTTTTTTTTTATTATTATTTGCAAATTTAGTTATGTCGATAATTCTGTGTATAATCAACGATTTGACACTAATAGTTTATTATTTCTTTATTATATAAGATCTTTGGATTAATTATTAATTATATATTTAATTAAAAATAAACAAAGTGCTACGATACAAAATCACTTTTAAAAAGTAAAGTAGGAATTAAATTACGCGTTACATTGCAAACGATTACGTAATTATAATTTCTTGCTGTTTTACGATTCAATAATTTTGTTTAAATTTTTTTTTTTTAATATGTTCTTTAATATTTCCTTGAATTTTATGTATAATATACTAAGAATTGCTAATATTTTATAAAGTATTTTATATAAAAAATTATCATTTAAAAAACATCTAAATTTATTTATTATAAATACAAATATCACTTACAAATAATAAGTAACTGATGCAAAACAAATATAATATACTAAGAATTGCTAATATTTTATAAAGTATATTATATATAAAATTATCATTTAAAAAACATCTAAATTTATTTATTATAAATACAAATATCACTTACAAATAATAAGTAACTGATGCAAAACAAATTTAATACTTAAACTCTGATAATTACAACAACGAAAAATCTATCATAAATATTTAATATACGAAAAGTTTTATGAAAAATTATTTTTCTTATTTTCAGCAAATGATTTATTAAATTTCAAAAGTCTCATATTGTATATAAACGCGTACATATCGCTCACATAATGAAAAAACTCAATATTTTTATTGTTTCGACAGTCGACTATATTACTCAACAGTATTTTCAATATCATTTGAGTGTTTGATAATTGACTTTTATGTTTTTGTACGCGATCTAAGAATACGCCCTTTTCAAAATAAATAACCATTGAATCACCTCGACTGTGAGGGTGCCAGAAACTTCATCTTCTTCATAAGGCCTTGCTTGTAAAGGTATAATTTGCCTCTGACTAGGATTAGCTAGCAGTTCTTCGACTGCGACAATACCAAGGCCCAAAAATCTGTCGTTTATATTAGTTCTGTCGTAAACTTCAAGTAAAACTTCTGTCGTATTTTGGCTTATGTCGCTGTAATGAGAAATGAACAATTTTTAAATGCACATGCTAAATATACAACGTTTTCTCAACACCGGCACTTCCCCTTTATCGTCGTACAATAATTATGTAATACCAATTTATTCAATAAAATGTAAATTTTTAATTAGACTTTTTCATGTCGTATGTGAATAGAAAGTTTTTCACGTTTACAAAGAGACTTTACGTACTTGCATTTGTTAATCGAATTTGTTAATTAATCGAATGCCTTAGTGTTTTTATAACATTATTTATATCTGTGATATCATTTAAACGCTAAACGTCTATTAATTCATTGACATTAATGTTATTACACATTATCTTCGACATATACGTACGTAATTTGACGCTAGTATTCTAATTCCACTTTTACTTATTATCCAAAAAGATATTTATTACTTTACGATACAATCTAACGGGTATCCGCATACATGTTATTATAATTATTTTAATGTTATTAATTTTTTTTTTCCTACACACTTCTATTGATTCGCGTGAATTATTTTAATCTTTAATTTGAAATTATTAACTAATATAAAATGTAAAGCGTTTCGTATTCTCTAAATATTACTAAAAGAAAATACTTCGTAACATCCTTGCGGGCGGTATTCCATTAAATTTACTTTATTCGTCATTGCATATTAAGAAAATGCCAGTCCTTCGGAAAATGTTTGTGAAAACATACAAGAGGAAGGCTTCGTCCCACACGGGGCTCTTCGTGTCCTTCTTGATCGATGTCTGGTGTCTTTGCGGTGGTTCGTCCAGCTCCACAACGCAATACGGTTCTCTGCACTCAAGTTGCCCGGCGAGGTCCGCCGCCCGGACAACCTTGACGAGTAGTCGACGGTCACCCGGTGAATATTGCTGTATCGTAGAACCGGATGAGTGCATGTGGCCGTGTCGCTGGCGATTAATCGTTGAGTTTGAGCCAGCCTGAAATATTAAAATCCAGGCGAATTTGCAAAACTGCTGATACTTTTCAAATTAATTATTTAAAGTGGCCAAGGCATTTATGGCTCATAGATTTTGCAGCGGGCAGAGTTTTTTTTGTTCTCTAACTTTTAGCGCATCGTAAATAATTAATTATATGGTGAAATTTGCATTTTGTTTTTATTTCTTTATTTATTTATTTATTTATTTTTATTTTTTGTTTTGTTTTTGACGATAAAGTCGCAGGGTTGGAAATTTAAATTGAAATTTAAGAGATGTTTATATTGCATAAGAATTATCACGTAAAGATCCTGAAATAAATTGCAATAGATTATTCAATGAAATGATCGACTGTAGTATAAAAAAATATTTATTGAATAATACGGCTTGGCATGCTGAATTTATAATTTCGGAAATTGAACAATTCACAGATATTCTCATTTGTATTCTCATTAGAATACAAAAGCCTATCTAATGATTACAATTACTTTATACATTATGTATAAGTATTATGTCAAATGTCAGAAACTAATTTTCTTACTGTTTTTAAATATTAAAAGGCAGAAATTGTCATAAGCCCTGATAATTGGATGTATTTTTAGCAAGTAATATCATCCAGAGAAAAGTAATGAATTTCTCAAAGGACGTAAATGAAAGAATAAGCACGTAAAGAATAAGCGTCCGTAACGCCATATGCCCTATATTAATGAAATAAATTCGTAAATTTAATACAATGTAGTATGAACCAACCATATTGTCGTAGTGCATAGGCAAAGTATAACCCAAGTGATTGATCGGTTCCCGCCATAATCGCGGACAGTTTGTATACTGGGATAGATTGAGATGCACATTGGTGCCGCGTATGGCGCCCACGACAATCTCCGTCAGCAGCTCTTGCATGTGAGTTTCATCAAAGTCCTTTTTTATCGTGCCAACGGGTGCCATGGATACCTTCACCTATTAGACAAACAATCCCTTTTTTAAAATTGTCGAATAGATCAAGCTGTATTTCAAATTAGATTTGAAATTCGATTGGCATAGAGAGAATATTAAAGCTAAGTTTTGCTCTTGTGCGACTCTTGCCAACATTGTATTGCCAATTAATTTTAAATAGCTTTACTCCTTAAATTTCGTACTCGCAAAACTCAAATATAGATAAAATAAAATAAAATAAAATAAAAGATAAGAAATATTATACAAACTTTTACAGTCATTATTATTCTTATTTTTGTCCTCATTCGTTCATTATTGCTATTATTATTCAAGTATCTTTATAAATTCCTATTAAGTGAATGATTCTTCAGAGTCGAAAGATCAATGATGGTATTCAAATTAAATTTATTAAAATTTTGTATTGAAAGCATCGTATAAATGATCATTTGTTTTATTTAAAATTTTATTAATCATATACGTTAGATCATAAATATCTTACAGCTATTGATCTTTACATTTGAATTATTAAAATAAATCTCATAAATTTTTGAAGGAAAATATTCTAATTATCATATTATATAGAGCGCGTGCGTTCCAATATATATATATATATATATATATATATATATATATATATAAATATAAATAATTCAGAAGAACGTTCAGAGACAGTAAGATACTTGATATAATAACTGTTAAATAGGAAACACACTTTGAAATGTAAATAAATAAGTAAAAAAGTTACTGCTCATGAATCTAGTCATAACTAACCACGCATGTCTAATTTTGATAAAGTTACATGATATTTAATTTATTTCATATACGACTTTAAAATTATTGCAAAATATAATCAAATCGCATTAAAGCATTAATAATTCATTTTGCACTTATTTTATACAACATTATCATCGTCAAATGCATACGCACAAAGCATACGCTTTGTAAGCATCATAACTATATAATACTGTAAGAATAAAAAGTGCGACTAATTGATATTAATCAACATAAGTAGTATTACGTACAAATTTTGAGCAGACAATCTATATTCGCAAAAAATACTGTCGCTACAGTGTGCGTGACCTGTAACGCGAAAAAGAATTCTTATTGCAATCGTTGCTAAGTTATATAAGTAAAAACTCAAACTTTTGAAAAGAGAATGCGATGCTGCAACGGAAATTAATACCAATAGCAGTAGTTTGCAGCTCTCGTAAGGAAGACTTTCGTTAACAGAGCGAGGGAGTGAGGGGATGAGAGGGGTAAGAGGCGAAAAACGACATTGAGATTGAGATCCGTGAGGTGGGTTGGCGATGCAATCCAATAAATTACCTCTGGCCATCCATCGCACTTGAGATCGATCAACAGCTTTTCCGTTATGCATACAACGTTCAATCGGGCTCGGAAGCGATTCACGTTGACTCTGTAATGACTAGTTTCCACTTTATCGCCGTGTTGACGGAATGCCTTTAGCTGTAGAGCGGGAGTTGCTTCGCAGTCACACGTTACTGTCTAAACATATTTAACGATAGTGAACTTGCCATTGCTCGATAAATCACTAATTTTTATATGACCTTCCATCTCTTCTAGGCTTCTCATATTATTCGATATTATTATTCGATTATAATAAAACTAAGAATGATCATTTTAATCTTCTCAAATGTATAATGCGGCTAATGATTTTAAAGTCTTGTGCACAATTTTTATATAATATTGTCCGATTAATTATGTTTTATTATGTAATGATATTTAAAATCTTACCACGTCGTCTTTCGAATCGCATTCGCAAAAAATGTTGGACAACATAGGTGGATGAGTTTCCGGTAGAACTCTAACGAATTCAACGCCGATGCCATGCTAAAAAAAATTTTTAAATATTCGTGTCGGTAAAAGATTATATGTACAATTATAATTAAGAGCAGATTAAGTATTTATAAATTAAATAATTGCAAATTTTAATATCAAAATTATTTTAAATAACATTATGATACTGAAGCATAATGTATATTTATCCTATGATTTAAAAATACTCGAGCTAATGTCGTGCGCAATAAGAGCTCATTAAAGTAATAATAACAATAAGAATATAATCCTATTTCTACATAGTGCGTGGATCCAAGCATATAATAGCGTTTAATAACCTTTCAAAACTTGTCCTCCAAGTCATTGGCTTCCTCGCATTGATAAAATTGCAAATACACGATCACAGCCAAAATAGAGTTTAATAAACTTGGTGATAAATTAGTAGCAAAACTACCTACATTCCATTATTTTCAATCTTCATAATAAAAATATATAATTATTAATTTCTTTTGGTAATAATACCTTAATTATATCATAATAAACATGTGCGTGCGTGCGTGCGTGTGCGCTCATCTTTCTAACACAGCTGTAAAAGCTACAAATATTAAATAAACCATTAATTAGTCATTTAAATCGCGATTAACAAAATTTTCTTTCCAAAAATTACAAATTTGTATATTGTATTTAAAAATTCAACACTTAATTTTTTACGATGTTTTAACGTAATGCTAAAGTACGTGCTTAATGGTCTTTATTTAGAAATATCGTACGTTGCCAATTGAAATATACACGTAATTTTACGATAAGTACAATTATACATTTTCGGTTTACCGTAAATACTTAACATAATCTAATAATCATATTATTTATCCACTTTTCAATATAATGTTTAAGCAATACCCAGCTTAGAAATTATAAATTATAGATATATAAAGATATTAGAAAAATCCCATTATCCTAAAGAAGACGAATTATATTAGTTGGGTATTCCACTTTTAAAAAGTTTATTTCTGATCGAGAAAACATATTCTCGAAGAAAACTCCGCTTCTTTGTATGTGTGTGTGTGTGTGTGTGCGCGCGGGCGCGCGCGCACGTGTGTGTTTGAACATAATGAAAGAAGGTTAATCTTTGCCGAGAATAAAACTTACGGAAAGAAATAGAGATAAAGAAACGGAGATAAATATAAGAACACGAGAAAGAAATAGAAGGGATTCGAGAAAAATGGGATGTTAGATATAAGAATGAGAATCAAAGTCGGTGAACAGCGTGGGCGTACGCAGACACGGACGGAGCGACGTTGTGTAGTGGCACGCTATTTTGGACAGGAGTCAATGACGTCATAGGTAAGCGAGAGACAAGGCCGCTAAGTCGCAGCGCCGCGGATTACGGATTATATTCCAAGAGGGCCGCTGTTGGTTCACCCTACCAGTCAAATCTATACGGGTTGACAAGGCAATCGAACGCTTCAAAAATATTACCTTAACACACACTGCTCTTCTCTCTCTCTCTCTCTCTCTCTCTCTCTCTCTCTCTCTATGAATATATATATATATATATATATATATATGTACATGTACGTACGTGCTCGTGTGCATGTGAGTGCAGTTGCAAATAAAGTACGTATGAAATGGTCGATATTATATAAATAAACATGATTTTCAAAATATAGAGAGAATCGTTAGAATTCATTTTAAATCCGATCCAATTATAGCATGATAGTTCGTTTTTTCATTAACATTTTAATAATATTGAAAGGTCGACAAGCTATAAATAATTTAATATTTAACCGTCATTACATTAAAATACAAGTGATGTAAATTCGTAATAAACATTTTTATTTCATTAACGTATAAAAAAAAAGGCTAATGATAAATGATGGGCAATATGATTTTTCTAAATACGATTTCGAAACTTTATTCGATACTGTAATAGTAAATTATGCAAATTTAATGTTTCAAATTGACTTAAAATGGCAGTCCTAAAAATTCATTGATTCAAATTATTCATACACTGATTGGTTAAATTTAACGTGCAAACACACGCTAATTTATATGCACACTCTAGTATTCGATTTCAACTATTGTTTATCCTACGTATTTTCAAGCATCCATTATACCATGTTCGTCTAACGGATTGAAGATTAGCACGTATAAAATCATATATTATTTCGAGTTTAAATGCATTTACCAGCCATTTTATTCGTTCTTCCTCGCTGTGGCATATTTTTTTCATCTATGACGATAATAACAAGAAGAACAAGTTTCACACGATTCACCATTACTTTTATCCAAGTTGAAATAAAAATTAAGACGCACATGACCCTGAGTAAGGGGTAGATTTTACGAGAATAAAGACAAAGACCAATTGTCTTAGATGGTTAACTTTCTTTATAATAATAGTATTACACTATTAACTCTTTTTAGAATACAATATTTTTAGAAAAAAGTACAGAATTGTTAAAAAGATGTATATTCAACTTTATAATTGCATAGGTGCCAGTATTTTAATCTGATTATTATTTGAATATAATATTATTTATACAACAAAATTCAATAAATGGGATGATATAATGTGCATACTTTCTTGAAAATCTACTTACTTTGCTATAATAACAGTTTTTAAATCCTTCACTTCATAAATTCCGTGAAGATTTTCATTTGAAAAGGGAAGAAAGTATCAAATGGCTTAGATTGTTTAAAATACGACAAATTTAAAATTTAAAAATATGAAAAATATTCGATAGATAATAGCCGAATTCAATGCATTGATTCAATTATTATAAAGAAACATTCGTACTCGAAAAATAAAGTTTTTACAGCACATTAAATATTCAATTAAGAATTGCTTAAGGAACATGGAATGAAATATTTTCATAAGAGATAAGGACATTAAAAAGTATGGAAAAAATGTGACATTTAAAGGTTGAAAGAAGCGGGAACATGTACCTCTTATTATTCTCTAAGAAAATATCTATGGTGGTTGGCTTATAAAGAAAGAAAAAAGTCGATGAAAACATTTTATATAAACTGAGCAACACCTGTTGCATCGCGTTTATACTCGTATCCACGTGTTTCGATGACCATCACTGTGCTTCGACACATCATCACATCCAAATATATCTTTTATAATATAAATAACGCGAGAAAAAATAGCCTTGCTTGTCGACAATAAAGATATCTCCTATACCCCCCCCCATCCACCCCACCCCCGATATCTGTCATAGCGATTCCCGATGTCGATAAGCCTATATCTCAAGCATCAAAATATACGAGCAAATTATCAATGTTTGCAATTCGCGAAGACGATTCATTAAAAATAGATAAATCTGCTAATACATCGACTGCGAATCGATAATACTATTCATTGATTATACATACGAGACACTATGTTTTTTTATTTTATTGATAGATTTTTTTTTCACTATTAGAAATTATATAATTGGCAAATTTTCTATTTCATTTTATTATTAGTTTTCATAGATATTGTAATGCGCGACTTAATATTAACCAACATTATTCAAGGCTAAAGAAAATATCTTACTTTGTTGAGCAATTTTGTATGCATGATGATTATGTGAATATTAACGAGTTTAGTTATAGCAAATGAAAATGAATATTACTTTTTCTTTATTATGCATACGTGCTTATGAAAATCGAGCATAACAACATAACAAAAGCGAAATTTTAACCGAATTTTGGCTAATATTTTCACTCAGCTTTTAATTAGCTACGTATATTTACAAAAATTTTGTATCGAATGTCATTTGAATTTACTGTCCGCATTTTTGTAATTCATAGATAAAATTTTTTACACTAGCTAATTATTGTTATGAAATTGGTCATTTTAATATTGGTATTTTTTCAAAAGCAGTTTCATATCAATTGAGCAATGTTTCTCCCCAAATCATCTGCGAGATGGCACAAAATTTATCAGTATTTGTAATAATACGTACACGTAAGCAATAATAACATTCTGTTTGAATCCTAGGAGTTTGGGAGCAAGGTCTTTGGAAAATTGTGGAAAATGCAATATTAATATTAACATACCAAAGGAGCTTTAATTGTTTATAAAAGCAAAATACTTGCTTGATTGAAATATCGGATTTCGGCGTTGCTTGTAATACTGAATTACAATGAAATCGAAGCAAGTAGGGTAATGGACTTTTTTCATTTGTTTTTTAGACTTTTTTAATAATAATAATAATAATAATAATAATAATAATTATTATTATTATTATTATTATTATTATTATTATTATTATTTATGGAAATGTTAGTGGTAAGGACAGGTGACGTTGTGAGCCCAGAGGCTGGGAGTATCGGTTACCTCGGAAATGGCGGAGGCGACAAAGTCGTTGAGGGAGTTTACCCAGATGCCTAGTAGCTCGTCCAGCACAACCAGATCCGTGTGCAGCCACACCAACATCTCATTCGTCCACCTAACCGCTTCCGGATCGGGCCCCGTTGACGTCGGCAGATGCAAAGCACGTGAGCTCCGCGCTGGGCTGATCAGCGGCCCGGAGTTCTTCCTCGTCAACCGCTTCCTCACCGGTGGCGTTGGCGGCACATAACCAGAGCCACCGAAGGACGAGGATAAGCCTCCACCACCTCCTACACATGCCCTTCACATCAGACATTGGCGGTAACAGCGATCCTGACGATCTGACTCGACCAATAATCGCGCATAATTTTGCTGTCACAGAGCCATGAGGTCCAATCGAATGCGAAGTGAACCCGGAAAAGAGAGACAGAGAGAATAGTCGACGATTTTTCAAGCACGATCGAAAGCTCATAGCCTTTACGTCAACCTTGGCTGCCGTATGGCCGACTGTCAAGATCTTATTTCCACAAGAAAATGTAAAGAACGGAAGGTGAAGGGGTTGGCCCGCGAAAAACGGTTGGTATCTACAAAATGCGACGGCCTAAGGTTTATATCTCACGGAGCTCGATGATCAGCCGGTCGCATTGTTTTTGCATCGATATTTATCTGCACGATAGATCATCGAGTTTGGCAAGGCTCGGGTTTCAAAATCACCGAGAAACACAGACTGGCCGTAGCCGGGGCCCTTTGACGCGTCTCGTAAACGGAAATCGGCCACAGCCGTAGCCGTTCAACCGTCCTCGCGAAGTTGGCACTAACCAAGGGGCAGTCTAATCACAATACACAAATAAGATACCAGAAGCGCGCGTTGTGTTTGTTTCCGCCTCGACACATGCGACGTAACGAAATCGATCGAGATTTAAGGATAGGACAAGAGAGAGATATAGAGTCGCATAAGCGTACCGGAAGTGGCGTAGCCTGGACCGGTGCTCCTCGAGGCGTTGGCGGACCTGGACCTGGCGACCGCGGCGGCGACTCCCGAGGCCGATGCGCCGGCCCCCAGCCGGACGACGCTGTCGCCGATGGACTGGAGGCCAGCAGCCGACTTCTTTAGCTGCGGTGATGTGATGATGGCCGGCGATCGTCGGCGGCTGCGCCCTGCGCCGCTGATGGAGCCTATTGTAGACGAACCTGCCAACGCAGAGAATCACCAGACCCAGCAGCATCCAGCCGAAGATGAGCATCGACAGGGTGTCCATTGTCGCATCGGCGGATGAGTCGAAACTGCATATCAGATCGTCCACCCGCTCGGCCAAGTCGGCCATATTGCCCCATCCTCCTGCCAGCCAAGTCCAATTGGATTCCGCGAGCATTCTCGGCTATTTTCACCCGCGAGCAGCGAGCGAGCCTCAAAGTCGTTATTAATAGCACCGGCATATACCCTGGGGCGGCCGACGCCGCGCCCCACGGCGGCCAACACAAGCCGAGGCCCCGGACTTACCCGGCGCGCAGCCTCCTTACCGACCAAGCCATGCCACTGTAACCCATGAACGCTTCTGCCGGATCATCTCCAACGGCTCGTAAACGATATCGCCAACAACGTAGCACCGACTGCATTTATTATAGGATACTTTCTCTGCTTTCTTTTATGCACGGTGACGATTCGATGCTGTCAAAGTGTCCATGACTCGTGCTGCGTCTCGCCTCTCCGAAATTCCCAAGAATTTTCTTTCTTTCCAATATTGCAGTTGCGCTCGTGAGATTGTTGGTATTACTAGCTGCGACTACAATTATTAATAATACAAATTAACGCGATGATCTGCTATTGTCATTTCAAAGACTTTATCTAGCTTTACTAGTTCACGGCCAAAACTTCACGAAAATAACAATATAAACTATAATTATTCTCTGCCGTCTTATAATCCAATAACTTATAATCCAAAAAACAAAAAAGCATAAGAATTACAAAATTACTACACGTCACCGATACTACCAACAATTATTACTAACTTTGGCCGAACCCCAACGTCTTGTCAATGTAACGTAAGAATTACTATTATTTCAATCTTTTCAATATCTGCAATTTTTCTGCAATTAAACAATTATGCAATAAAAATATGTAAATGCGTATGTACTTTTTGTTCAATAGCTTTTTATGTAAAACAACCGACGTTTGAAGAGCAAAGCAATCAGGTAAAATAAAAACTTATCCCCCAATATTGACACAACATTGTATGTAGTGTTATAATGTTTAAACAATTTGTGTCATTTTGTTGAGCATCGTACAATAACAATATGTCAACATTTCAATAAATATTATCCTCGATATCTTGAATTGTAAAAATACAGTAATTTAATTATTGCAATACACCAAATTTTCATTATGTATAGTTATATGAATTATAAATGCACTGACATATTAAACAATACTAATAATAACAAGTACATCTCATACAAATAGAATACAAGATATTTAATTACAAACTTAATTTAAAACAATTAATGAATTATACGATCTAGCAGCATATTTTGCATACATAGATATTACGCATTATTTGTTCGTTAAATCCGTTTGTCAGAAACATAATAATAAAATTATTTACTTACGATTATCATAAGTTTAGTTGTATGAAAGAAATTAACTGATTTCTTATTTATTATCAACTATTAGTATAAATAATATTATGTTAATTATTTATATTAATTTTCATAATTATATTTTTATAATATAACATAAAATATAAATTTTCATAAGTATATAAAATGTATAATAAAATTAATAAATTCATACAAAAAAGTATATCGATAAAATTTACTTTGTCATTCTACTAATATGTAAGTGTATCTTATGAATGTAAAGTCGGTAGTAGCAAATGAACAATTTTATTAAGTAAACAATTTTTCAAGAAATCTAAAAAACCAACAATTAGTACAAATGTAAATAAGTATTTACTATTTTGATTTTCTCAACTGGTAGAAATTTATCAAAATTGATGGAATTATAATTTAAACAACTAATAACAACGAATTACCTTAAAAATTTAAGAATTATTGTCAAGTAAAACTCAACTTACTAAAATTAAAATACTAAGATTGCAAAATTTTTTTAAATATATAAAAAATCGTTTGTATTAATTTTAATAAGCGATAAATAAAAGTTTTAATTAAGCAAATCGATAGTTCAAATAAATACGATAATTTTGTAATTGAATTTACTTCTAATTAAAACTTTTAATTCATTTTAATTAATCATCGTTACTTTTCATGTGTGAAGTAAACAAATCTTAATACTACTTACCTGTTCAAAAGAAGCGCGAATGAAGAATATAAGAAAATTTTTTGCAATCGTGCTACTTTTGTACTTTCTCTATTATAAATCACTTTTTGTAATCATTTCCATTGCTTTAATTAACTATGAATTCTGAGAAAACAGTATTTCCTTCCAGAAATGTAAGAAAAATATTGCTGTAAATTGTTTCCAGTTGTAGAAAAATACTCATGACAATCCTCCATTTTTGTTATTAAGCTGCAAGCAAAAAAAAAAGTAGCATTAATTGAACTTGAGCAAATTGGAATCTTAAAAATGTTGCATACAATGATTTAATATTTGATAAAATTGTAGATTATTACGAAATAATGATAACAATGCTTTTAATGCCTGTCATTACTAAAATTAAGTGCAATTAAAATATAAGAATTTACGAAAATATACTTGGCTTATATAAGGATATATTATCATGATTATTTATACCTAATTTAATTCTTCTACGTGCTTGATTAACATCCATAATATCAGTATTCACTTCTTTGTAAAGTCACTGAAAATAAAAATAAAAGAAAATAGAATATAATTAGAAGCACTGATACAATCAATTTTATATTCACAGTAATATGATATATTGTTTTTTAATCTGCAATTTTATTAATTTGATATTATGATATTGTTTTCATACTGTAAAATAATAAACAAGTGAAAAAATACTATTATTTAATCTGATATTTGTTGAAATAAATCAAATGAGGAAAAAATAAAATCACAAAATGGCAAAATTTATATATATAAATATATTGTATTAATAAATTAAATTACGTATTTAATAAAGAATATTAAAAGACATGTATAATGTGATTGTAATACGTGTAATTTTTGAAGACGTAATATAATAAATTTAATAGGAATTTTCTAATTAAAACTTTATATTTTCGATTAATTTTAATATGAATTTATTGAAAGCTAATTAAATTAATCGACGAATGCATAATTAATATTCTAACATAACTAATCTAACTCTTTATTTTATTTTTGGAGCGCAAGGTTTCCGATATAAATTCATCACGTATATAGAATATATATTTAAATGTAAGAATTTAAATAAACAAATGTTTCATATAAATTTAAGAACTCCAGAAAATTATAGAATGTTTATCAAACTAATTGAGCACTATGAATTTGGCTTGGAAATTTTTTGCAATAAATTTTATTTTTCTTTACATATCATTTCATCGAAACGTTCGAGAATAATTAATTCTACGATCTCCTTGCCAAATTTTAAAATTATACTATTAAATAATATTTGCACAATAGGATCCTCAAGGTTAATATTGACAGGCTAACGAAAACAATTTTGATAGGCGATAAATATTGATTGTAATAATTTTATCGGGAATTTAAAAACTAAACAAAAATAAACACAAATACTGGAAATACAAGTTTGAAAGTACCAATAGTAGAAATTAATCAATATTTCGCTATTTAAGCGAATCTTCTGCAAAATTACTTGAGACTCTAAAAATCACCACAATCACCAGTTACCTGAACTTGCAAATTGCTCCAAACTAATCGAGAAAATGTCCGAAGAAGCAATCCGTAAGATGGTATCCGTACGATTAGAGAGATGAAAAGGATGAGAAGGGTGAGAAGGATGAGGCTAGAGTAGGAACGGAGTGCGATCGATCGACACAAAGATCGATCGAGTGGATCGAGGTTGATGGACGTGTTAAATCTAGTGGTCGTTGTCGCCGTCTCTTCGGACGACCGTTCATTCGATTCAATACGGCGATGAGTCATTGGCGCGGGGACGAGGAGACACCCGTGTACAATCACGGAAAAAATTTAACTGCGGATAAAGGGAAAGCCCTGCGCCCACTTGGATTTTTGTCTTTTTTATTTGACGGAGACAGGCCCCAGTCCTTCTATTACGGAACAACCCAGTTTACCATTCGTTTTCTTTTCCCGGGCAAATCTTCGATTTCCTAAGCTCTCCTCCGTATGCAAATTACTTTTCTCTGCAAACAGAACAGCTAATTAACAAAAATCAATACATAGACAATTTATCTAGGATTATATTATTATCGCATTGTTGTGAAAGGAGATGAACTTTATCGCGAGTGCTTATATCGATTGGCAATTAATTGGTATATAATATAACATAAATAAATACCTTTGTTTATCACTTCAATATGTAAAAATGATCATAATTATCAAAGTACGCTCAAATATTTCAAATTAAACGCGCAACGGCGATAGGAATACTGAATGTAATGTAAGAAGTAGATTGCTAGCAAGATATAATTTATTATTTTCTTGCACTCGACGAACTGAACGTATGTATTGAAATAATAATAAGTGATAATGTAATTATATATTCATTAATTGCACCTCCTATTTATTCATTGGTCAATGCTGCTTTAAGTAACCTGCGAATATATCACGAGAGAAGCCAAATTTATATAAAAATATTATTAAAATCGTACCGATAAAGATTATTTCAAAACATTCAAAATGGCAACGGTGCTTATCAAGAAGTAATTTCTTCTTATCGAATATGTATACGAAGTCTTTATTGGCCATATAAATATTCATGCGATGTCGTTATTATTCCGTGATGATTGATTGACACATTTTTCCGCCAATTGTATGTTAAAAAACAATCCTTTCATTAATTACTCTTGAATATATAATTTCAATGCTTGAATAAAATGTCATTCAAAAATATAAAAATACAAATTTAAAAATGTTCTAATAATTGATAATTTAGATTTTTTCATCGAATATTGATATATAAAAAGTAATTGCTTAGCTAATCGGACAAATAACATTAAAAGAAAAATAAATAAATAAATGAAGGATATATAGAACAAATATGATTAATTTATTGCTAAATGTAACAATGTGTATTAATTGTTTGATTAATCTGGGCGATTAACGGGAAAGAGGGAAAATTACAGATATTTCTTTTGCAAATTAGCTGAAAGTGAAAGCAACATTTATGGCCAAGAATAAATGATTGGTCAATAAATTACGACGGCAATTTTCTTCTAAACAATACAAAACTTTAATTATTAATTGATGATTTATATTGAATAGTTTACTAGTAAAATAATTTTTTAAAATTCTTTTATTACAATTAATTAAAGTATAAGTCTTGAGGCAATAACGCGCTTAAAACATAAACAAAACATAACGAATTCTATGTACGTAAGTTGTCAACAAAACTATTAACACGTTGTACACTTAAATCAAAATAATTCTTGAAACTAATTAACAAATAAGAAGCAATCCATACTTATCGATATATATTACATTAGAAAAATTGTGCATAAATAACTGTTATTGTTTAAATAATTTATGTGGATGAAATTTTTTAAAATTCTGTAATTTCAAGGATTATAGAATTTAATCGAAAATACAAAGATGCTTAATATGTGTAAGGAATAATTTCACTCGAAGAAAAATTTATCAAATCTTCTTTTAAGGTTAAATAAACATATTTCACTTTAATTAAAAAAATTGATATTAATTTAGACGTTGCAAAAATACTTGTTGCAGCATATATCTTTGTTTAATCGTCAGAACGTTAAAACTCGTTCAAAAACACATCGACACCGTTATTAATTAATTATACCCAATGATCTATACATGTTTTACAAGTTTTTTTTTGGTATTATAATACTGAGAAATTTTCAAAATACTTTAGAAAGACAGAATATTTAAATAATACTCATTGATCAAGCAACAGAGTTTGATCATCAGTACTGTTTTGTTCCTTATGTCGATAAATAAATATCGTATGTATACTTGTAAAATATCATTAAAAGTAGAATATAACGCATGTCATTAGAATTTTTTTTGTCTTTTTAGAAAAAAATAATAGACGAAAAATATTAAAGTTATTTTTGTCTTTCGTATATGAAAGATAATGACGTTAAGTATGCGTTTCTTATGCACTCGCGTCATTCTCGGCCAAAGCATAAAATGATAGTGATGATGTATTTCAATGTAGAGAACGATGACTAATGTTTATTATTAGAGAGATTATTAAAGTGGCTGAAAATCTTGTTAATTCGATACCATTGGCACATATATGTTTCAGACATTACTTTATAATTGTTATTGTCAACCAATTGATTGAATTTCGTAATAAAGTAATTTCATAAAATGCATTCATTTTCATTGATTTTGAAGCTTTATGGGGATGTTTATACATGTTTATATATATATATATATATATATATATATATTTATAATAGACGAAAAATAAAAGAATCTCCCTTACTACACTTACTTAATTGTGATTTACGACAATACAATTATGTTTCTCAGCAATATGCTAATCCTATTATTATCAGCAAAAATTTCATGGATGTTTAAATCGCATGTTTAAATCAATTGTATCGATCATTAACTCGATAAATGCATATTAAGTGTAAAGCTCTAACGATATTTGCGAATGAAGCAGATTGTTGCTTGTGTCGCGAGAGCATTAAAAAATAAAAAAAAAAAAAAAATCTAGACAAATAGCCTCAATCGGAGCACGTACACGACCACGACTACGGACGTCTTGACAATAATCGCTAGCGATTAATGAATGGCCAACCAAAGATAAAACTCAATTACGTTCCGCTGTTCCGCACTGGATTGGTAAACGCAATGCGAGCTCACCTAATGGCTAAATCTACAAAATGACCATCGGCAAAATGGAAGAAGCTGCGCCACGTACCCATAAAGATGACTCGTAAAGCCAAACTAATCGCGACCTCCCACGCAATGCAACACCGATAAGTCCGAGACCGGATCGCCCGCGTGACTCGGCCACTCCTTCGCGAAGATAACTCGACCCTAAAAGATTCGCCGACATCGATTTTCACTCCATACATCGGTCCCGGTATCTTCTCTTCCCGAGGAGCCGAGCATCATCGGCAGCTCGTGAACACCATAGCATCCCATTCGTCATAACATCGAACGAGCGGACGTTCGAGATCCCAAACTGATTCACGATAAATTTCGCCCCGCCAATAAAGGACGCTCCATTCGTCTAATCGCTCTTTCACCACCCTTGCACCCTCGCACTATGGTACGAACTTGGAATTTTTCTCAATGCTACCTTCCCTTCTTGTCGACGGCTCGGGCCCAAGTATCATCGAGGAAACTGTCCGTCTCTCGCTAGAATCTCACCATTCACAATT